TAAGCAAGCGCCTTACGCGTGTAGCCCGGATAGAGTGAGGCTTTACAGCAAGCTTTCGCCGCCCTTCAATATCTCCAGCGATGTAAGACAAGGGTGCTCGCTGTCACCTTTCCTCTTGAACTTCACTACTGACGAAGTTATGGAAATCGCGTTCACAGGACATGACTTAGAAGGTGCGGAGCTACTCCCAGGAGAACGAGCTCTTGACTTGGAGTATGCAGACGATATTACCCTCATCTGTAACAGCTCGCAAGCGTGCCAAGCTGCACTTGACAGATTAGCACTGGCTGTCAGTGGCTTCTGGTTTTGCTTTGCACTCAAAGTGCAAAACGTTCCTCAATTACTGGCGAAAATCGCCTCCTGTGCTGAGCCTTGGTGGGGATCAGTTAGAACTCGTGCGAAAATGCAACTACCTAGGTAGTTGTATCAGTGCCGTTGGAAATGAAGACAAGATCACAGGCTGTATGGCAAAACTCGAGGTGCTTTTGCTAACCTTGGCCACCTATGGCACCGACGCGACATCACTCTCCACCTGAAGTATAGAGTGTACAGTGTAGCGGTACGTTCGACCCTACTGTACGGATGTGAAACTTGGCCCATACGACCAACGAACAGAAAGAGGCTAGTTACGTTCGACTACCGGTGCCTTCGCAGTTTGGCTCATATCTGGTGGGAACACCGTGTGAATAATGAGCGTGTTCGACGCACTATTTACGGCGAAGGAAGAAAAAGCGAACCACTTAGTACCGTTATAACAAACACCATACACCGATGGCTGGGCCACGTGTTGCATATTGAAGCCCAGCGATTTCCGCGACGTGTGTTGTTTGCTCGCTGGGGGTGTGGATGGAAGAAGAGGAGAGGTGACCAAACGATGACTTGTTTAAGAGGTATGACGACCCTTACTTCGAAGTTGGCCTCGGTTGGAGCCTTTTGGCTGGCTGTTTGGGGACGGAAGGACGAGGAACACGTTTGGTTGGATACATTCGTTGACATGGCTATGAGCAGACGTCAGTGGCGTTTGTTTTGGGAGTTGCTTTGTCCCTCCCACTCCGGTTAGCCTCCCACTGCAACCACGGGCTCAATTAATAGGCATCATATGACTTTTTGCGGTACAGTAGCCGATTGTTAGCTCTCCGGAACTATGTCTATCCATTACTGGTGACTCAGCCGGTATGCCTCTGTTTCAAATTTTTTCTTTTCTGTTGCGGCACCATAACTGATGTGCTTTCCACTTGCTACTAGCGTATATGATGAATATGCATAATTATGTCTTTGAGGGATTTGACATGGCGAACCCGCAAGGACTGGCCGAATGCCGACACCTGGACTACACACGTGGCACATCGCAACTTCTTCGTGAAAGTGATCGGCGAGGACAAGGTGACGCATCATCAGGAATTAATTAAGCGATTCTGAACGAATTACAAACTACTATACAAGCACGTTAAGAGGCGTCGTAATGTGCAGCGTGGAATCCCAGCACTGGTCACGGCTGATGGGTGCACGCTGTCAAAAATGGAAGCAGCCGATCGCCTACGGTTTCAGTACTCGCACACGTTCCAGAGTATAACGTGCTCAATTATTCTGCTCATGTTTATTACTCTACCGTCAGGCTTATCCAATATCACTTTCACTAGAGTAGGTATGTGAAAAAACTGTTATCCCAGTATACCCACAGTCTTTCTTTGGTCGATAACATTCGATCGAAGGCTCGGCAGGCAGAAGCCCGTGATCTAACGGAACCCCTGGCTGTATTCTATCAACGCTGCTTAAAGGAGAAGCAACTTCCTGCAATATGGATGCGAGGATTCATAACTGCCATTTATAAGGGGAAAATCAAATAAACCCAGCCAATTACCGTCTGATAAGGCTGCTTTCAGTGCTTTCTAATTTATACAGTCAGTCATCGTCGATGCACTTATACCATACCTGGAAAACCACAGCCTTAATAAATAAATAAATAAACGATTTATTCGTGACGGTGCGAGACACGCCTTCAAAGGAACGATCATGGTACTACAAACGCGTAACATCAGGATAGTACAGAAATGTTTCAAGTTAACTAGGACATACTCGACAAATCCGTGTATGTACCTGTAGTATATATGTGGGTACATGTGTAAATCATCGCGTTGAGTGAATTTGTCACTGTTACCGTGAATTTATGAGTTTGTTCGGTGATTTCGCCAGGAACTTTCAACCAGATAATTTTCTCTTGAGCTATTTATTTTGACCCTATATATTGGCTGCACATACTGTCTTCCGGGTGCTTCATGATCATGGTGGTGGGCGAAAGTCGGGTATGATCAACGCCTGGCGTCTAGTAAAGCTGTGAGAAGAGAGTAGCTGGAGGCAGTGAATGGAGATTGAGCAATACTATAGGGATTGATCATATTTGACGGACTCTGGTGCATCTGAAGGAACAGGGACGGGGAAGCGGTGGGGCAATGCGACGATTCGCAGCAACGCAAGGCCACTGGTCTCCGCAGTTCAGGCAAGCAAAGTAACACGCAGCGGTAAGCGCCACGAGATACAACTATTGTGTCACACAGGACGTGATCGCGGCTATTAGCTCAGGAGAATGAAACAGACCAAGGTCATAGTATCTGCTTGAAAGGAAATGTGACAAACCCGGATAACATTTGATCAAAAGCTTCAAAATATTACTCGTTGGAACTCAGTACCTACCGCATACAGCTCAGAATGTTATGAATCAAAGGAGGTAGATTAGGCTGTTAGAGGGATTAGTTTTCGGTATCGCAACCAATAAATTTGCAATGTCGAATGTTTGATACCCTCTGCATAAATGTGCATCGAAGGGACAGAAATGTTGGTTTCCAGCCTGCAATCCAACAGAGGAGAAGAGTATTGCCGACGAATTCCGAAAGGATGAAATAGTCACGTGCTAATTTCTCACATATGCAGGGGGTCATCAAACAGTGTATGATGAACTTACTCTTGTAAAGATAAAAGCTGTACGGTTTGTATGGATAGAGTGGAATTTATTCGTGAAATCTAGAACGCGGTAGAGATCTATTACAAACCGAAAGGAAATTGAAATTCACAAGCCGCACGAAAAGATTGGTGAATATGGGTCAGTGAAAATGAATAAAAAGGGCACGTTGACAACCAGTAAACCATAGATTTGGACATGAGTCGCTGAAAGCGTTTGCTGCTTGTTAGTTGTGGTGTTAAGCGGAGAGCGGCGCGACACATTACTTGCATTTTATCACATTACCCACTGGCGCTGTTCACGATAATTGATGTTATGGACAATTCTTCTCTTTGAAGTGGTTTACTTTGCTTACTCAGCCAATTCCTGGTAGGCGGCTAATATGCGTCCGCCGTTACAGTTTGCCTATGCTAACGGATGCGCCTCCGATAAGCTGCACTGTGGTGGTAGATGCCTGTGAGTATTTCGTTTTCCCTCTGAATACTACGGAGAACCGTTGGTGGCTCTGATTCCGAGTTTGCCCCTGGGAACATGCGTGTAGCAATGCCTAGCTTGTCTGTAGACTACAAATCTCTTATACTCCATTTTGTGTCCATGAATCCATTCTTCTCTTCGGATACACGAGGCATGCAAACTAGTTGAGGTAAAGCTAAGAACGTGTACAATGGATGAGGAACAGGCCTAGTCAGCGTTCGGCAACGACTACGCAGCGGCGTGCGGTAAATTACCGATGAAATAGCAATAGATAGGTGGCACAGAGGGCGGACCAGACAGTGACATCGCAATCCGTTTTGTCATACGGTAATGACATTAAGCCGGCCTGTATAGGGCCTTGACAACAACTCCCTATTTGAAACCACCTTACGTACCAAGGTAACAGTACACTACTAGTGTTTAGATACAAGGGCATGAGTTAGAGTAGGGAGTTCCCGATGTGGCGCATTGGTCGGAGCGCCAAGAAGAAATTCGACGCAGGAAAGTTAGAGCTTATTGTACCATATAGGGCTGTAATTAATCTGAACTGGGCAAATGACGGTTGGGTGGAGGGAACGCAACGGTCACATTTGTCTTCGGCCAACGCGTTGGGGGCTTCGAGCTCATTATTCAAAACGGCAATGAAGCTGCCGTCTACAACTAGTATCCGTTTATATACTGTCAAATGGACAGCCCTATATCGTGGAAAACAAAAAGTGACAAGGAAGTACAAAGAGAGACGATACCTCCCCTTGGCTTCAGTACAACCAGACACCACTGTACTTGTCTTCTAAGAGTTGACAAACTTGTAACGGACATTAGCCCTATATCATGGATACAGAGTCGGGTGTTTACTGTAGTCGGTGAAGTGCAGACACGTAGAAAAGGATCTCTGCCACAGCAGACTTTGGTGAAACACATTCATAAATCAATGTGAGACCAACGGCAGTCGCTTGTGGGCCAAAGACACTATGAGGTCGGTCGCACTTGGGATCTGTGGGTTACAAAACAAACTACCGGAGGAGACTCATCCATCGGCCGGCACTTAAGTGGACCAAGTGGGGAAAAGCAGTAAGCAACAACGATTCCTCTCTATCTATTAGATTTATTGAAAACATAAAGTCGCATCCAAGAGAAAATTTGTCAAATATTAAAGCGATTTGTCTAACACATCTGAAGTATGGGTGGGGAGTAACGCGGGATAATAAGAGAGAGAGGCAGAGGAGGGAGTACCGGTGGAACATCAGGAAGCGCCGCATGACAAAGACGTTTTTAAATAAACCTTAGATGAAGGTCGGACAGGATAAATTGAATGCATTGGGCCTGATGTGTAAAACGAGGTCGAAGTGATGATGGTTGATGAACGGACAGCAGGGGAGTCAAAATCACAGATAGAAGTATTCAGAAAAAAAATGCAAGTGCTGCTGTCGGCAGAAATGGACATACGGTGTAGTCTAAATGAGGCCATGAACGCTGCCGGTAAAGTGGAATGGTTTGTGAACAGCCAGATAGGGCTGTGGCTAGCATAAAGAGTACGACGAAGAGTGACAGGACGGTCGTGCACTTCGCCTCATTTTGAGTGTGGGACTCGCCGCGCAATCGGAGATTCGGCTAGTGAATCACACGACTGTGAATCACTCCCTGCGTCGGCTGCAGGATCCGACGTAGTCACCCGTGTGAGGGAATTAGAAGTATCAAGAGCAGATAGGTTGATTATTCGTTGCAGCCACTCCGGTGGGATGTCCAAAACCGGCACGGCACGACAACCATGGAGTTGCAGTAGCCGGGCACATGTGTCCTGTCGGCAAACGTGCGCGTAAGACCACGCAGTGAGACCAAACTGATCGGTGCAGTGGAGATCCGCTCCATGCTGAATAAGAAAAAGAGAGATGTTCGTCTGTAAGGTTGTTGGAAAAGAGAGAAGCGACTCTTGATACCCCACATCAAGAGATGAGTAACGCTTCAGGTAAAAAACACCAGACACGCTGGATCCAAAAGTCAAGTGCCAGAGATCATGAAGAACACAGTGAGAAACAGAAATCTGAAGAAGCTAAACATCGTAAAGTTAGCAATATGTAAACGGTTGGTAGCGTCAAGATTCACGAATCGACATAAATACAAAATTTATGGTGGCAAAGCCGGTGATTCGTCAATTCTTGTGTCGATACGAAGAAGTGCGTGGTGAGAAAGTTACTAAAGAAGAATGAGGATTTATAGAGATGGACAGTGGATATGCGTGTCTAATAAGCCGCTCCGTCGTCCGTTAGCAAGTGAAAGTAGGCCATATCACTTGATAACCGCAGAGTTCGAACGGCACACTACAGTAGAGCGACTATATCGCACGATGAGATCCCGAGTAGCCTTTTCATAGGTAGCACAGTGGTCCGAAGGCGTAGCAGTAAGGAGAAGTGCATTCCTCCGTCAAAGCTCAACGTGGCACGCAGGACGATGGTTGTTCAGAGTGAGATTACTGGTGACCATGTGTATGTTGTGTGCACAGTGTCAACGCGGGTGCTTACACGGTGTGAATCTCGGGAAGGAGGCCGAAGGATAGCAGATCGTTTCGAATACAGGCAATCGAGTGACGCATTTGCAAAACTAGTTGCGCGGTCTCAAGCTTCAAAGCACAAGCACGTTTAGTCACCCCACAGATCGTCAATGAACATAGCGCGTTTGTCAGCTTTGAAACAATTCACAAAGGCTTCGAGACGATTGGCCAGAGACAGCGGGTACAGTCCTTGCCAAGCAGCTATCGAGAGCGTCTCACTCACTATTATATATATATATATATATATATATATATATATATATATATATATACCATCATCATCATTATACACGGTAGCTAGTGTAAAACACTTCAGCTACTGTGTCGCAATAGATAAAAAAGAAGAAAATAAATGCAACAGTTGCATGCCAGCTGAGTTACCAGCAACGGATGGGCATCGTTCCGGCAAGCTAACAGCCGGCTACTAGACAATAACAAAAAAATTAATACGTAAAATGATATTCTGCTACGGAATGAGATCGAGGATGGAGGGGAAGGCTAAGAAGAATGGAGTGGGAAAAAGAAACTCACAGCAGGAATGCCATTGAGGACGGCTCCTCCTCATCATCATCATACACGTTAGCTAGAAGTGGAGAACACCCCAGCTCCTGTGCCGCAATACACAGAAAAAAGGAGGAAAAATGCAACTGGTGCAAGCCGGCTGAGCTACCGGTAACGGATGGGCATCGTTCCGGTAAGCTACCAGCCGGCTACTATGCATCAACAAAAAAATTACTATGCAAAATTATATAAGGCTAAATAATGAGATCGTGGTTGGAGGGGAGGCTAAGAGGGATGGGGTGGGACAAAGAAACTCAAAGCACGAACGCCACTGAGGTCGGCTCCTAGCCATATCAGCAAGTGTATCTAGCCAAACGTGTTCATCGTCTTTCGGACCCCAACCAGGGAGCCGAGACGCTCCAACCGAGGCCAGCTTCGAAGTGAGGGCCTTCATTCCTCTGGATCAAGTCATCGCTTGGCCACCCCTCCTCTTCTTCCATCCACACCCTCGGCGCGCAAACAACGCACGTCGCGGGAGTCGGTGGGCTGGCATACGTAACACGTGCCCGAGTCATCGGAGCCTGGTGCGTGAAATAACGGTGCTGAGCGGTTCAGTTCCTTTTCCTGTGCCATAAACAAGGCGTCGAACACGCTCGTTACTCACGCGGTGTTCCCAAGAGATGTGAGCTAAATTACGAAGGCACCGGTGGTCGAACGTAACTAGCCTCTTCAGGTCCACTGCTTTAAGCGGCCAGGTTTCACAACCGTACAGTAGGGTCGAACGTACTGTTGCATTGTACACTCCACCCTTCAGGGCAAGAGTGATGTCGCGCCGGCGCCACAACTGACGAAGGTTAGCAAAAGCGCCCCAAGCTTTCGCTATCCGGTTCGTGATCTCATCTTCAATCCCACGGGCGCTGATATAACTTCCCAGGTAGTTGAATTTTTGAACGACTTCTAGCTGATCTTCACCAACGGCCAGCGTAGGAGGCGGTCCAGACCAATCTTGGATGAACGCTTTGCATTTCAAGGGTGCGAAGCAAAGTCCGAAGAGACGGACAGCTAGTGCTAATCTGTCCAGTGCCCCTTGGCACGTCTGGGAGCTGTCACGAATTAGGGCAATATCGTCAACATACTCCAAGTCAAGAAGTCGTTCTCCCTGGAGCAGATCCACACCTTCTAAGTCGTGTCCTGTGAACGCGATTTCCATTACTTCGTCAACAGCGAAGTTGAAGAGGAAAGGTGACAGCGGGCATCCTTGTCTCACACCGCTGGAGATATTAAGGGGCGACGACAACCTGCCGTAAGCCCTCACTCTGCCCGAGCTACGCGCATATAATGCTCGGATAATGCTTACATATTTCTCAGGCACATCTCTCCTGAGTAGACAGTCCGAAAGTGTATGTCTATCCACCGAATCGAATGCACCTTTGACATCGAGGAACACGACAACGGTGGGCCGCCAATATATGTGACGGTGCTCCAACAACTGACGCAAAGTGAAGATGTGGTCAATGTAGCCACGACCTCGGCGAAACCCGGCTTGCTCTTCACGAATCTGGCTTTCACGAGTGTCAATCAGTCTGTGAAGAATGACAGAGGCAAGCAAGGTAGAGGCGATGGAGATCAGACTTGATTCCTCTATGGCTGCCGCATTCCGATCGTGAGCCTGTCTTGAATACTGGGACTATGACGGAGCGGCTCCAGTCGGTTGGGACAGTTTCCTGCTCCCACAGTTTGACTAGTAACTCGTGTAAATTATTCACAAGAGCAGGTCCCCCGAATTTGAAGAGAGCTGGAGGAAGATCATCAGGTCCCGCGGCTTTATTTAACTTCAACTGTTCGACCTCACGTTCGACTTCGAAGAAAGAGGGCGGATCCAAAGGAGTAGCGCAGGGAGCAAGGTGATCACTGGTCAGTGAGAGAGCTAACAATTCCGGCCGATTAAATTGCTTTTCAAGATGCTGAGTCTAACGCATCAAGAATTTTAACAAGTTGTGGATAGGCTGCCCGCTCTCGTCTCGTATAGCTTCACTAACACTAGATCTCCTACTGCCCGTTTTCCGTGTCACACGGAACAACATCCGATAGTTACCAAGTACAGCGGCCACTTCCATCTTTGACGCACGATGAGACCACCAGGATTTGAGGTCTCTCTTCAGGCTAGAAGGGAGTTTTGCCCGGAGCTCTTTGCGAGTTTCATTGTGTTCGCCTCCAGATGGAATAGGCTGGCGAGCATAGATAAGTTCCAGAGACTGCGAAGAGAACTAATGTCTAGTTTGGATAGTGGATTTACCAGATGATAATTTACCTGCTTCAAGTAAGTTCTGATGAACATGCGACCAGTGACATTCAACTCTATTCAATGAGCGATTGCTCAGCCCGAATGCCGGCGTACTTCGATGCGCATTCAGAACAGCTGGCTTCGCCAGTTGACCGGTGTCAATGCGCTCACAGCGTCATCGTGGGCGTCCGCCAAAACGTAGCCGCATGTCAACACATATAAATGCACGGTCGGTTGCCACACACGTGCTCCAAATCCCGCGACAGTTCTGGACGCAGCCTCTGCATCACTAACTTATCGCAAGGTGATGGATTTGAATCCAAGGCTAGTGGACGCTAAGTCACTCTCCGGCAGGTGCTGCGTCGGAAGTGGGTGCTCTCAAGAAATAAGCGTGCATCTTTACACACATGAAATAACCGACCACGGTTCTCATTACGGGAGCCTACACAATGTTGGCCGCCCAGATGCAGTTCATCAGTGGATAAATTTCCAACTTGAGCGCTTAGATCCCCCGCCAGTAATACAGTGTCCGTGCTTCTTCTGTGAGGAAGGAGCTAGTTCAGTTGGCGGTAGAAATCATTTTTCACCAAATCATCGCTAGGGTTTGTGGGCGCGTAGGCAGCGATGACGAGGAAATAATTATTAAACCCAAGCAACCACCAAACAGCTGGCGAAGTCAGATATTCTGAATGTGTATCAAAGTGCGCTGACATCCGGGCTGAGTAAGCGCCCTCTGAACACCGTCGAAGAGCGCTGGTTGCATATTCGCTAAACGTTACTACCTGCAGATATGTCTTCATGTGGCAAAACAAATTGCAAAACCGAACATTGGGTCTCTACACAGTCTCTGGAACTTATGGCTGCTCGTCTACGTATCCTGACTGGAAGCAAACACAATGAGAGTCGCAAAAATCTCAGGGCAAAACTACGTGCTAGCCTGAAGAAAGACCGCGAAATCTGGTGGTCTCATCGTGCCTCGGAGACGGAAATAGCCGCTACCGTTGATAATCATTGTAAGTTATTCCGTCTGGTACGTGAAACAGGTAGCAGGAGACCTGGTGTAAGCGAAATCATACGCGACGAGAGTGGGCAGCCGATCCTCAGCCTGTCAAAACGCTTGCAGCGTTGGGCTGAACACTTTGCAAGGCAATTTAACCAACCTGAGTTATTGCTTTCTTCTTCGGGCATTGAGTGCCCTTCTCGTTGGGCTGTCTCCTTGGATCCGCCCTCACGCGCAGAAGTCGAAAGTGAGATCAGGCTGTTGAAATTGCATAAGGCCGCAGAGGCAGATAGAATTCCCCCAGCCATCCACAAATTCAGGATAGCTGCTCTAAGAGATGATTTACACGAATTGCTAATGAAACTTTGGGAGCAGGAGACTGTCCCGACAGACTGGAGCCGCTCCGTCATTGTCACAATCTTCAAGGGAAACCCGTTTGGAATGCGGCAATCATAGAGGGATCAGTCTGATTTCGATTGCCTCTAAATTGCTTGCCTCTGTCATTCTCCACAGACTGACTGACACTCGTGAAAGCCA